AGATACAGGATTATATCCTTTACCAAAAATATCCATCATCTATGTCTTCCAATAAAGGCTTAAGATGCAATCTGCGAGTTCAGGCCTCGAGATATAAAATTTGTAAAGGTAAAATGCATCATCATTCTCATAATGGTGAAGTTGTTTTGGACCTTGACCGTAGAATTCAACTTCTTCAAGAGGTTCACAGTGGATGTGATACTAATGTGTCAGCAATATCTCTTGCGGCCCATTTTGGTATCACCAAGATTTACAGCAAATTGGCTGATAGGTAAAATATATAAAAATTATAATATTATATGATCAATAATATATTTTTAAATATAATACACAATAATAAATTGTTTCACCATTTTTATAATAGTGAAACAATTTTAGATTGTAACAGAAGAGTTTAACTTCTTTAAAAAGTTATAGTGGAGTGGATGTGATAATAATGAGGAAAAATCTTTAGCTGATTATTTTGGTATCACCAAGACTCACAGCAACTTGACTAGTAGGTAAAATATTTCTGCATAATAAATCTATTTATTATATCGTGTATTATATTTTTAGCTTCTGGTGGCCAAATATGAAATTGGATGTGGTTAATTTTGTAAAATGTTGTGATATTTGCCCGCGTAGCAACACAAGATTTGACAAAACTAACAATGAGTTGCATTCAATTCCTATTCCAACAAAGGTATTAAAGTTGATTACATAACAAATCCTTAATTTGAAAATTTTTATAGTTTGGTCATTATAATTGTTTCTAATTTTTGTTTATTATTTTATATTTTTCATTTATAGCCTTATTAATGATCTGTTTATTATAGCTTATATGTATGTGGCACTTGTTTTTATTAGTTATGTTGGTTTCATATATTGAATCATTTAAATTTTATTGAATTTTTTTAAAATAAATATATCATATATTCATTTTTAGTTTCAAAATAAAAATATAATTTGCATATAATCTACTAATTAAAACTTATAATCTGAAAATATAACAAATAAAATTAATATAGTCCCCTTCAATCTCAAGTAAAAATTGATATATATATCATAATTTCATTTTTTTAGCTAATTTAGATTTTACCTCATTCTTTATTATTTTGTTTTTTTTCAGATGCAATCATAAATAATGGTAAGCAGCTTTACTTTATTACATGACACCTAACCTCCTAATGGAGTATATAATATAACAACAATCTTTTATTTTACAAAAGGTATGGACACAAATAGGTGTTGATTTAAGTGCTTTGCCTGAAAGCGAGAATGGCTATAAATACATTGCTGTAGCAGTTAATTATTTCAGCAAATATATTGTTGCCATGCCTTTAAAAGATAAAACAGCAAAATCGGTATCGCGCTTCCTTTACTCGTTACTATGCACACATGGTAGGGCAAAAGTGTAATAAATTTGGTAATAAAATATTAATATTATATATAGATTCAAATTAATGATCAAGGACATGAGTTCGTGAATGAAATAAGCAATAATTTTCACAAACTCATAGGGACCATGCAGAGGGTGACAAGTGCTTATCACCCTCAAGCAAATGGCATGGTTGAAAGAGTGAATAGGACAATCCAAAATGCACTACTAAAGTCTATTAAGGATGATCAATTAATTTGGACAGATGCCTTGCCTGGCATAATATTTGCCTATAACACTTCTCTACATGAATCTTCAAAGTTTACACCATATGAGCTGATGTATGGTAGAAAAGCAAAACAAGTTTATGGGGTATGATAAATCTTATTTTATAATTATATACTATATATTATGTCTCTATTTAAGATTGATGAGGAAGAGGATATTGATCCTGAAAATGTACCTGAAGCAGATTTGGAATCTTGTTTTCAAGATACAGTTTCCAGGATGAATGATATTCATGAGATAGCTGCTGGCAATATAGATCTTGCTCAGCTTAAACAGCAGAGGGATTATAGAAGTCGTAATGCTGGTAGAAATAACTATTATTTAGTCAATGATCAAGTGCTTATTTGGAACAGCCGTCGGGCTGATAGGAAAGGTGGTAAAATGACCAGACCTTGGATGGGTCCTTATACAATAGTTAGGATTCTTAAAAGTGAAATTTATCATTATTATTAAATTATTTTTAATATTTAGGCAATGTTGAGCTCATGAATGCTAGCGGTAGCATTTTAAAGAGCAAAGCAAATATATGTAATATAAAACATTACTTTGCAAGAAAAGGTATATAATTGTCTTAATTACTTAGTAATATACATATTTTTTAGATGATAAAAACTGTGAGGTAGTGAGTTATAATGAGGAGTTAAACGCTCAAGAAAATCACTTGAACGGTATTATTTATAAAACTCACATTAATTTTTTTAAATATTTAGTCTCAAAATTACTCAACACGATTATTGGGGAAGAGAATAAGAATTGTGAAGACCAAAAATATAAAATATTTATTATTATATGTATTTTTTAGATAATGCAGATTTTAAGAAGATAAAGATATTAAATGATGAAACGAAGATGGTAGAGCTTGGTAGCCATCGAGAAAATAGTAATATTTTTATAAATCGATATAATTTGTTTTTTAAATTATTAGTTATGCCTTCTAATCCTAATATTTCAGCTGTAATTGACAAAGTAGGACTGTTTATTGAGAAAGGTATTAATATGTGTTATTATTTAATTATGCATATTTTTTAGATAATGAATTGACAGTAGAGACTGTAATTTCTAAGAAAGATGATGCAAATCTATTTCTTCCCATATGGAAAATTTATCATTCTGAACGTTTCCATTTTACGATCAAGAAAAGATATCCAAAATATGATAATGGTGTAATGGGAGATAATTTTTCTACCGAGCGGATTATTGGTGATGGAAATTGTCTCTTCAGGTATACATATTTAAAATAAATTATTGTTAATCATTATTGTAGATGTATAAGCAAAGTAGTTTGTGATGACGAATGCCACTACGATTTTCTGAGACAGCAATGCATTCTCTTTATGAGAAGCAAAGATATTGTTGAGCAGATGAAGGGGTTTTTGGGAGAACCCGTTGACAAATATTTGGAGAGAACAGGCATGGCTCAAAATGCAACTTATGGAACAGAGGTGGAGATAGTTGCATTGGCAACTATGCTTCAAACAAATATAATTATCCATACCATTTATAAATGGGCATATTACACACCAATTAAAAAATTTAATTTGAATATATATTTAAGAAATTATCGCGAACATTTTGACCGCATAATAAATTTTAATTAATCTTATTTATATCGTATAACTTATTTATATCGCATATCTTATTTATACCGTATATCTTATTTATACCGTATATCTTATTTATATCGCATATCTTTATAACGCATGTCTTATTTACATCGCACATTAGAATCTATTTAAAACAGGGATTCACTTAAATATCTATAACAATAGAAAATATAATACTTAATCTTTACACGTAAATCATAAATGTCAGTATCACTAAAAATATTATATTTAATATATGAGCGTCAGTCTAAATGTCAATATCACTAAAAAATAATATTAAATCTTAACTTGTCAGTCATAAATGTCAATATCACTAAATTGGAATTTATTTAAAACGGAATTCATTTAGAACGTTGCATCGGCTCTGAACACCAGGTCTTGGTCTAAACCTCGGGTCTGTGCTCAGAGCAGGCCTGAGCACAAAGGGTCGTAAATTTTATGACCAAGCAAATTAACAACACTAGACAACCTTTACGAATCAATAAAAACGCCGATATTATTGTATGTTAGGAAGGAAGAAGGTTAGAGAAGCTCGAGCTCTATCTATTATCAACAACAGCCATTACTATCCAACACAGGTTACGATCGAGACACCATTTTCAGGATTAAAATATATTCAATCACCATAAAGAACATAATTAAACAGAGATATATTCGATATTTTAAATATATGTTGTAACAAAAATTGGAAATAAAATTTTAGATTAACTTAAAACTGTGTTTTTACTCCCATATATTTATCATAAAATAAGATTAAAATTATTTATCGAGCTATATATAGGAACCCTGTATAAAAAATAATAATTACTGAACATTTATGAACCTAAATTATTGGACCAAATCGGTGTAAAATTTAACCCTTTTACCTGAACTATTATAAATTTTTATTCCTGAAACCTTAACCGAACTTATCTAACAAAAGGTTCGCTACTCTGCACACGTATTTTATGTTACAACTTTAAGTTAATATTTGAGATGGAAATAAAATGAAAATTTATATTTATTTTTACCTTTCTTTTGACCAATTTACACATACACTTAATTAGATTGACGATGTATTCATTATAATGCATTTTGAAGCTATCTTTTGTCAAATATAAATCAACTGGTGACATGCAAAGGAAACTCGGATTTTTTTTGTGTTTCCATATATTAATATAAATTATTATTTTCATGGTATATCAAAATTGTGACACCAGCTGATTTATATTGATACAAATTTAAATGAATGGATCGACAGTTTAGGTATCATCATATTCATTGGTTTTTACAAATATATAATGTTGAACATTTAAATTTAACATAGGAGATACTAGAGAATAAATATTTAGAGTTTCGATATTTCCTAATTATTTTATTTATAATAAAGCCTCGTCGCAAAGGGCATAGAAAATTTTTATCACTGAGCTTTTGGACATCAACAAAATTTTTTAAATATTTTGTTTTCCTTTTATAAATATTTTTTTTTCAAGAATAACACCTTTTTTTAAATTTTCTTTGCGCAAAATTTTCCCTCTTTCGTTGAAATATTGTATTTTTGCAACAATCCACTAAAAAATTAGATTGATCGCTTTGAACCTATTTCTAAAATAAAATTTCGGATTGGATTTCAAATCTTTGAAAAAATTAAACTCGGATTGTATTGATCAAAATAAAAGAATTTAAATTTTTTGCTCATATTGGGCCACCCAATCATAATGTATCTCAATAATATCATCAAATTTTACTAAATTTAAGAATTCTATCTATACCTAACTCTCAGCAAACCAGAGCGGGGTGAAATTTCGTTTCTGAAAGCATTTCCGATTTGAGCAGCAGCAAACGGCAATTTTCCCTGGTTAAATTCTAAAAGTCTCTTGAAGTTAACGAAAATTCCTTGGGCGGTTTCAGGTCTTAGGTAACTGTAGTGTAATAAATTGTTTTAGATATTAGAATTGTCTCGGATACTGGATGTGATATCAGATCAGTGCTTGGTTTTAAATATCAAGGTCTGGACCGGTTCCATTACAATAACCGGCTCCCAAATAAAAAATATCTATAAAATTTTATGTTTTAATATTCTTTTGTTTAAAAGCTAACTTTTTATGCGGAGCATGAATTAACATAATATGCTAATAAAATTTTTCATGAAATCTCAAACTAATGAAGTATAGCCAATGTTTTTTATATTACTTTAGCTTAGTCTTAGTAAGGTTTATTTATTTCATTTTTTTAAAGTAAATAATCTTTTATAAGCATTTTGGGTATAAGATGACAACAATTTTTTTTTAGTATATTCTTTTGATAATAAATTAATTTTTTATTTGAGTAGTGTATAGTTTAATCATTAATTAAATGACGACGGACAAACGTCAAATTAGTAGTGCTGTAAACATTTCTAAAAAAATCGACCGCGTTCACGTTCTCTTTAAATAAAAAGGAACGCGTTCATGTTGTTCATTTAAAATTTTATGAAAATTTTTTTTTAAATTAAATTTAATATAAATAAATGTCTTATATTTTTTAACACAATATATTAGACATGTTAAATAATAGTTTTATTTTGATAATATAAATATAATATAATATAGCGAATAAAAAGATATTTTTATTCATAAAAAAATATTAATTTTTAATAACAATTGTTTTTAAAAATTTCCATCTGATAGACAGGAACGCTTAGCAGTTAATAAGACATTAGCTATACTACGCGCTCTATAGGGGCAGATGAGGGGATTGCGGTATCATATATAATAAACAACTCTTTTAACGTGGGGAATTTATTAAAAACATTTATTGTTTTGTCTTTTGCTTCAAAAAATCGAGATAAGTTATCCTTCTCCAATCCAACCTCTACTTCATCGTCAAAAAAAAATATCTAGAAATTAACAGTTCTTGCATTTTCATGGGTTTTTAATGCATTTTATCAAAAACGCTATAATTTTATTTTTTATAGGTTCCTTCTATGGAAGTTTTATCCATGGCCCTTGAAGCTTGAATACTGTATGTATAATTGCAGAAAGAACATATTGATCTTCATATATATATGTTCAAATCTTCAAAAAATAAAATATAAATTTGATATTTAGATTAAATACCTTTTATTAATCTCAATTAATACTGCGTCTCTCAATGGTTGACCATATCTTAAGCCACTAATTTTTTTTAATTTTAAAATAATTATCGTTATTGTTTGAGTCAAATAGCCAATGCATTTTTTCTAGAAATTTAATTATTTTACTTAGTTATATATAAAATAAAATAATTAATATTACAATCAAATGTCTATTAAATGAAGATTTTGAAACTGATACAATACTTTTTAGGCACATTTTACATTTGGTAAGCATTGAATTAGTTCCTTCAATATAGGATGTTACTGTAAAATATTTATCATATTTGGGTTATGGTAATGTTAATTCATCTGATAATTTTCAGAATCAGATGATGATGATGAAATAATAATATCCATGTTTATGCTAATCTATTAAATCAAAATATAAACAATAATATTCAAATTAATAAACTATAATAATGGTGTGTTAAAAAACTAAAATGTGAAAAAGGAAAAACAGTTGATTATAATATAAATAAGACTTTTTTCATAAAAAATTCGGATTAATATTAAATTTTTCAAATAAATAAAAATAAAAAGTGTTTTTAAAATTGAAAGAATGTTAAATTCGAACACGTTCGTCATAAAAAAGAAACGCGTTTAAAGTTCGCAAAATTATAGAAAACGCCGTTCATCATTTTTTTCAAAAAAAACGAACTTCGTTTACGAACGCGTTCAATTTCAATTTTTGATTATAATATCCACAAAAAATATAATAGTTGAGGCTAAAAAATTCCCCGTCTATGAACTTTGGGGTTGTATATTAAATTTCATAAAAATAAAAAGAGGTTGAGCAAAATGAAACGTGAATGATTTGAAATGGAATGACTCCTTAAAACAATTAATGAGGAATAATAATCAACTCACCCTTTAATTAATCCGGAAGGACCGATATTGGTATTGAACATAAGATTAAAAGGCAGCGGTGCTGATAAATCGTTGCCACTGACGGGGCTTTTAATGTCCAGTTTTCGAATCAATTCTTGGAATTGAGCCGGTTTATAATCATCTAATTGAGTTAAAATAGTCTCGTATTCCTTAACTAAATAAATTTTATCGACTGATTTATCCGTGCCAATATAATCTTTTTGGTTCACTTTTCGAATATCTCCATTAGAAATTTCAAAGTTGGAAGACGATTTTACGTGTGAATCACCGTTATGACCGCCGCTTTTAGGTAAAAGGGTATCGGAGGAATTTCCTTTTATCAACTTTTCGATGTGAGCTTGATAATATTTTATTTACGTAACGAATTTTAAAAAATTTTAAAATGGATAAATTTATTGAGCTAGTATAGATCAGAGATGCACTGATGACAACATTTTAGCTAATACCGATATTAACACCGCCCAATACTATGAGTATTCAGCCAGCAATAAAGATTACAAAGAAGATCAAGTGTTTTTTAAATATAAGTGAAGGCCAACCAAACCAGTTCAGGCTCCACAATTCGAAAAAAATATTAAAAAAGTTCGAGACGAATATAGGCAGATAAAATATTTATATTCCATCAAATGTAGTCAACCACTTTTTTAAAGAAAAAAATTGATTGTGGAGTGGTTTGAACTAATCCTTGATAACCTTTACTATATAAATAAAATCTACAATACCTGTTATGCTAAACGCTATATAACTAACCTGATCAATACTTGGTTTCAATTGGAGATGAATAGGGCTTTTACCCGAATCGGAATACGATTCATAAGGCATTATTTTTTACCCTGAACATAAACCCGGCTTTACACTCATTATAAACCTGGAACCAAACACATTTTGGGAAAATTTGGGGTTCGGTTAGGCTTCATGCTAATTATTTTAAATTTACACACTTCTTTATCTTTAAATTAATCAAATAAATTCAATTTATAATGAAAAAAAATTAATCATAACACATAATTCTTATCATGGGTACTGTATTTTGAAAATTTTTGAGAGGGTAATTCAAAATTTTAATAGTACTCAAGCCCCTAAATCCTCTCTAGTAATCCCATTGATTCCTATATTAATATAAAGATATATTAACGAATTACATATAGGATAATTCCATGTCAAATTAACAATAACAAGAATTTTAGGTAGATTCCTTTTGATATTAATAAAAATTTGTATGATGGTTACATATGTTATAATTAATCCAAAAAAAGGCTAAAGCCCATATTTATAAAAGATAGGCTAAAAATCTGCTTTGTAAAATAAAGATGAATATCCTATAAATTCATACAAATATCTCTTTGTAATCCGTTTCAATCAAAATGCTATTTTGATAGTTGTGATAAATATCCAAGTATATAGAAGATATAAAAAAAATTGTTATTCGTTAAAAATAAAAAGAATTTAATGTGTAAAGTTTAGCCAAAATCCTATTTTCAGCCTTACCGTGGCGGTGGGATGACAACGTCTTTTGGCGGTTAATGGAGGTCTAAAAGGTTCCCTGTTGTCTGGGTCTATAATAGGATCACCGTCTCCTCGAGGGGGTACAAAAACCACCTAAAGAGTTGATGTTGTGAGGAAGGACACCCGATTGTAACTTGCTATATAATTTCCTAATGATTACAACAAAGCATCACAAGAAGAAAAAAGGCAGAAGTTTGCTAAAGAAACGGAGTGCAAGGAATGAATGAAAAATGTGGTCCGAATGGCAAAGAAGATGGCAAAAAAAGAGGCAGGATGTTGTAAAATTTTTGAAAAATATGGAAGGAAAATGGTGATTGATAGTAGTGATATTAAGAACACCTGGAAGATCTACATGGAAGGACTTTTGAACGAAGAAAATGAATGGGAAATGATGTTGGTTGTGCAAAGATAGAAGGTCCAGGGTGTAGATTTAGCAAGAACGAAATTAAGAGAGCAGCGAAAAAGATAAAAAAATTGAAGGCAGCGGTTTAAAGGAGGGTGGTATCAGAGATGTTTAAAGGTTCTGATGACTTAGGAAATGAATGGTTAATGAATTTAGCCAATCAAATTGTAACAGAAAGAACTAATCCCGAGGATTGGCGAAGAAATATAATTATTATAGTATACAAGGGGAAAGGTGATCATTTAGGCGGGTCTTACAGAGCTATTAAACTCTTGGAACATGCAATGAAAGTATTTGAGAGGGTGTTAGATAAGCGAATAAGGTAACAAACGAAGATTAATGAGATGTAGTCAGAGTTGGGCAGGTCTTCCGAAAAAAGAATCTAGATACAGATACAGATTCTTTGTGAAAAAATGAATATGATATACAGATACTAGTATCTTTTTCAAAATATCAAAAAAATACAAGATAAAAGATACTTGTATCTTTTGCCTAATTAAAGTATCTTAAATACAAGATACTTTTAAATTATCATTAACAATTAAATTAGAATAGTGTATAAAATACAGTTTTTATTATTTATTTGTGAAGAACATAACATATGCATTATAATAAGAATGAGTATTTTAAATAATTAATAAATTATTTAATGATGAGTTAATTATAATAATCAGGTATTTTAATTAGTAATAGCCGATTCTTAGAATAGATAAGGAAGAAAGACTAGTATTTTAATGGGAGTTGAAATATTAATTTGCAAAAGAGTATTAAAATAGATTCATTATTTTATAAGATAATCAAATTTTTCAAATAAAGACCTTTGCCGTTTTGGCCTACTTAACATTGTGCCAAAACTAAATTATCTTTCAATTGGAACTGAATTATATTTATAAAAAATTTCCTTAATGGAAGAATAATTTAAGCATTTTTAATGTATTTCGACTTTCTTTAATATAATTTAAAACCTCCAGTTCAATGTTATTTGTATTATTGAACTCAAAAAGATTTGTTTAACTAAGAGAAAAATAATCATCATTTTCTTTATTAGATGTTAAATCTATCGGTTTTATAGTTTGAACTTGTATATACTCTGGTTCTACATTTAGGGTTTCTTTTATTAATATATTTTTAAAGTATTTGCTTCTATCATCTGACTCAATCCATTAAAATATGGATGTGATATTTATGTCAAAAAAGCCTCATTATATTCAAATCATAGGAAAATATTTTCTTAAAATTTATTGCCCATGCCACCTTAGGGAGCTTTTAATAAAGGTAGCAATATTGTAAACTTGAATATTTAAGATAACCTATGCCCCTTTTAACCACAAATAAATAATATACTTTAATAAGTTTAACAAAATTTGTGTTTAAGTATTTAACATTTTTTTGTTTATACAGGTTTTACATCTAGTCTGTATGTTGTCTTTTTTAACTTTTATTTTTAAAAAATTTCTATATAGAATTTTAAGATGGATTTGATTCGTGGGAACTTATATCCATAATTTAAATTTTAATATCATGAGTGTTATTCATTCCACAAATTAAAAAAATGTTACATAAAATTGGAATGATATTCATCGAGTTACATTTATATATAAAATTAATCTTTATTTTGTTTTGGTGTTGTTAATTTTTTATCTATCTACCTTAATATGAGTTGTAAATTTTCCAGCTAATTTTGGTTGTCATTATATTTAAAATATGGTGAAAAAAAATAAGGAAATTAATACAAGATTCTCGAAGAAAATAAGATATATACTGTTATATATAAAATTTTAAACATGAATATTAGAAAGAATCTGTATCTGTATCTTTTGTCAAGTAAATGAAAATGATTCTTTTCAGAATAAAAGATTTTAAATACAGATACTAGTATCTTATTAAAAATATCAAAAAGATACTGAGTAAAAGATACAAAAGAATCTTGTAGATACAATTGCGGTACTGCCCAACTAGGTTTATTGGTATGAAGAGATATTTTGTGATATATAAAAATTGATACAATTTAATCATAATTTTCCACTATATACTTTCAGACTTTGATATATATAATTTGGAAATAATATTAATTGCAAATTTGTTATAAAAATAAAATCACTATCAAGCTTGTTAATTCTATTCTATTAAATCAAACTCAATTTCACCTTTTGAACCCTTACCCCTAAATGTAATATAACTTTAATATAATTCATAAAACATTATTTTTTTCTTATTTTAATTTAGAAGCATATTGTTGACCCAAAAATTAGGAGGATTAAAAAATAAGATACATTTTAACAGACTACAAATTAATACAAGTGATTTAAATAAATAGTGATTAATTGAATCACAATGTATGATTAATGGACTGTATAAAAAATTTGTTTTATGCCAAGAATGAATAAAAAAAATCCATTTTTTATTGGTTAAATGTAGCCAAATGTTATATTTTTTAGACTGCTAAGGTAAATTAACTATGAGCTATGTGAGCAATTTACTGTTTTTTATAGTCATTTTTTCTATTAAATAAATAGTAAATTAATAATCTTTACCTTTTATTAAATGATCTACTCTAAAACAATCTTGAGTCACAACATCTTTAACCATATAATCTGAAAATCTATCTACATGTCCTGATGCTCTAATAAGGATTAAATAATTACAAGTATATTCTAGTCATCCAATAAATGAATAGTAGTTTATAAAAAGAGAATAGTATAAATAAAATACTTCCTCACTCAAAAGTAAATAAAATATTAAAGCAATTGTGATAATTTATCCTTTAGTAGTTTATAAGTTTACTAATTTTGTCAATACTTTAAAACAGGCTCTGGTGTAAGAATAGAACAATCTACTTCTAGCATTTGTTCCTCTAATATAAAATGTTTTCGCCATATATTTATAATATTTGCTTTCATTGCACATCCCATAGGTCCCATATCATATAAACCAGCAATACCTTATTTAGGTTTAATAAAAATAATATTAAATAGGAAAACGAAAACCTCCATATATCGAAAAAGATATATCATAAAAAAATCTTCTCTTTATTAAATCTTCCATCTTAGACCTTTGAAATATCTCCTATAAATAAAAAAATTTCGTAAATTTTCTAAAATCATTCTTTACTTTTTCCATTGTAATTTTTTGATTTAATAGCTGATTTTTTAATTTTAAATTTGAACTAAATAGAATCTTATGCAGAGCTTTTTATACTTCAACCAATATATTTACTTTATTAATCAATTTAATGCGTAGTGGCACATATTTAAAAAAATTTAGCATGCAATGATTAGATTCCTTTCAGATACACTAGGTTATATTTTTATTAATCGAGGAATTATCAAAACCAGAAATATTTGATTTTCTCAAACAAAAATAAATTACTATTTTAAAATATAGTTATTCTTGTTTTTGGGGAACTTGTAGCCCACATCCATTTTTATAGAATAACCTTTTTTATATTTTTATTTTAAATAAGTGTGTTATTATTGTATTCCATAAATAGAAGAGAAAAAAAAGTTAGACAAATTATAGTTAATAAATAAGATATAATATACTTGTAAACAGTGACGAAGCGTCCAAATTTTTCTTATAAAATTCTTAAATAAACTTAATATAATCTTTATACTATGCAATAAACTAAACAGACTTCGTTAAAAAAAATTACTATAATTTTCAAAACGTTAAAAAGATTAATATTATTTTTACTATATTAAGAAATACTATTATTTTTACTACGTTAAAAAAAATATACATGATGGAAGCAAATTTAATATTGCTTATTTTTAATAAATATTTTATAAAATCATGTTTCGTACGATATATTTATGGTACAATTTTTTTATTACGTTAAGAAAATATATACATGGGGAAGCATATTTAATATTTCTATTTTTTAATAAGTAAAGAGAAAATCATGCTATGGTTGTGTAACTTTTCGATTAAAAAATTAGCATTGTGGAAGCAAATAAAAAAATGCTTATTTATTAATAAATAAGAGAAAGAAATTTTTTTTATATTATATTGTTTTCCTTACTTTTTTAAATAAAAAAATTTTTCGTTTTTATAAGCCTTAATTACGGGTTTTAAGATTGATGAGATATTAACCGAGTAAAGAATAGTAGAAGTAGGCGTGGCCTAGCCAGAAGTTTGAAGGCTCCATTTTCAAGTAGGAAAATTATTGCAGGGACGAACAACTCTTGCAAAATAGCTTACATTATTATAATAGTTCTGGTAAAACAATCGAATAGGCGTACAGTGTAGTATAGATAAACCTAAATCAAAGGGAAATAAAGGTAGTGGAACATGAGAAAAAAAGGTTAAGAAGAAAGAAGGAATTGTATTATTGAAAATTTATTAACATTATCATTTAGCCCAAGAAATTCTAACGAGAAAAAATTGATTTTTGAAAAAAGGAAGACCATAACCAATTTTACAAAACTTAAAAAAAGAAATCACAACTTGCATCCGTAATTTTTTTATCGATAGATATGAAAAATATGAGTGTCTCACTGGATGTGAATGATCCAATTCTCTATATTGTTGGTCTCCAAAAGGAAAAACATGTTTGGAATGATAAAAGATTTTCGGATATGATAATTTATCAAAGGAAGTTAAACGTTATGAAGAATCAACCGCTCATTTGCAGTCGATGATTTATTTAAATATATTTGGCTTAAATCGTATTGAGAATATGATAAATTCCATGGGCAAAATATCAATCGAACAGCATAATTCGAAAGTCAAATCAAATAGAGAGATATTGAAAAAATTTATCAACTCTATGTTATTTCTTGGAATTCAGGAGCTCGCATTAGGTGGTGTTGATGAATTTTCTAATTCAGAAATAAGAAATTATATTGAATTAATTTATTTCGCGGAGAAAATTTACTATTGAAATATCTTTTAGAAAATAGTATAGTTTTTATTGGACTATCAAACGATATTCAAAATGATTTTATTTTTTCCATTTCATACGTCTTATACCAAAAAATTTCAAATGAATTAGAAGAAAAGGAATTTATATCAATAATATTAGATGAAACAACAGATATCAATAAATCTCAACTGGTTGTTGTTCTTCGATATGTTTTAAATAATGGGACATTGTATGAAAGATTTATTGAATTCTTTGATGTTACTATGCATCGAGATGCTAATTCTTTATCAAAATTTGCCATCAAATCCTTGAATGATAAAAAAATTATGAAAAAATTAATAAGTCAAAGTTACGATGGCGCAGCTGTTATGTCAGGTGATTCACATGGACTAAGCGTAAATAAAAGACGTAATCCTTCAGCACTTTATATTCATTGCTTTGCCCATAAGTTAAATCTTATATTATCAAATTCTTGCAGCAAAAGTAAAGAATGTATGGGTTTTTTTGCAGCTTTATCTGGCTTAGCCAGTTTTTTTAGTATATCATCTAAGCGAACAGCGGAATTTGATAAATATGTCAAAAGAGATACCCAAGAGTAGCCCAACGAGATGGGAATACAATGGTCGGCTGGTTCAAACAGTTTACAATTATTTGAAGGATCTAGTCGTTTTTTGTGAAAGTATGTTTGATGGAGAATTTAATATTGTTTGGGATAATGATGTTCTAATAACATCTCGTAGCTATTTAAATATATTGAATGATGCAAATTCTCTAATTTTATTATATTTTTTTCAAGAAATTTTTCCAGAATTTGATTTATTATTTGTATATTTCAAACTAAAATTAACGATATAGCTTATTGTCTTAAATGTATTACCCATTTCGGAAATTCAGTTAAATCAAACATAGAAAACTTTGATGTTTTTTTTGAGAAATTTAAATGTAAAAGAAAATATTGAAGACAATTTAGATATAAAACGTAATAGATCCCGAATGCCCAATACAAAAGATAAAATTTGATAATTAAAATTTTGGTTCGATACAATAAAAAATATCAAATTCGACGAATTGTTAGATATTAGTATTTTCTAAATATTTAATCAAAATTTCCCAAAATATTTATTAGACAATTTAATAACACTTATTCTCAATTTTTTGACTTACACAAGCTGGAAACCAAATTAAAGGTAGTGTTTTGGGACGATGAATTAGGAAAGAAAAAGAATGTCAATAAAATACTTGAATTTTTAATATGTACCATTTTGAAGAAATGCTTTTAAGCGTTTTTTAAATTATGCTAATTAATCCTAGCTTTACCTTCAATCAGCAAGTGCAGAACGGGGTTTTTTATCTTTAAAAAGAATTAAATCTTATTGTAGACATAGGATGAATCAAAATCGATTATCAAATCTATCTTTAATTTCGATTAAAAAAAAATTATTAAAAAATTTAAAATCTAACAATAACTTTTATAATGCAGTAATTGATCGTTTTGATCAAAAACAAAAACGAATTCTTCTTATTTATAATTCTTAATTTTTTTTATGGTTTGACTATTAAATAAAAATAAAAAAAAATTTTTATTGCTTCCCTAGTAGTAAACTTGGCGCTTCGTCACTGCTTGTAAATAGCTGTGATTGCGTTTTAGTGCTTATAGCAATTGTTAGTGTCAGTCATTATTATAGATATTTATTCTATTCTTGGAGGCCTTTGTTCGTATTTTGTTCTCATTTTTAATTACATCATATCTTTACGATCTAATTATACTGCATTACATAAGTTGGTGATGTAAATGTAAAAATCCATCCCCAGCTAATATTTTTAAAAAATAACTTACAATTTAAGCAATAAAGATCATATACATATTAATTAGTAATTTGGTTTATTGAATTGTATTGTGATATATAGGTAGTTTTACTACTCATTAAACGATAACCATTTTAAACGGTGATTGTTTGTGCAATATTAAATGGTAATGTTGTTATATTGTTGGATCAGGTCGGCATGTCCACGAACTGATCAAATTCTTAGCCGCAACAGTAGGGTGATCAAACGTTGGGAAGAGGGAAGGATCGTTTGAGTTCGATGGTCGGGGAATTTGAGGGGCAGGGATGGGCGACCCGATTTACGGGGATTCTGGTCATGCAGTTAAAAACTATCGAAAATACTAAAGTTTCGCACATAAAGACAACAATAGCCGCATCCAAGTATCAGCGGTTAAATAAAAGGTATGAATTGCTAACCCATTTAAATTCTTAGTTTAAACGTAATTCTTTATACGGCAACTAAACCCCATATTTTATGACCGTGTTAAGCAGCCGTCAATGGCGGTAAGATTGTGAATTTTAACCTTAAATTAATTTGAAAAAAGGAAAGAATTTCTCCACACTGCGGTATAAGTGCGGATTTTAATCCCAACTAATTTAAAAAAAGAAAAGGAACGAATTTCTCTGTACCCCAGTATTAGTGCGGCTTTTATTTAAATTTTGGGTATGGACCGATCTACGGTCTTAGTCTGAAACATCAGTTGCGATTAATTTTCAAATAAATATAAAAAAAAGAATTAATTTTATTAACCAAATTTACAATCTAATTTCAAGTAAAAGGAATCATACGACTTAAAAGTAATTCAAAAGCATAATAACCAATTTCGTTTTTATCATGGCTATATCAACAACATATAATAATACCTAGACTGACGATTCATTCATTAAAAGTGCATATCAATGCAAATCAGCTAAGAACGCCATCTTGGTTACCCTTATCATTATTAAAATTTTAAACGAGAGGCTAATTAATTCCTATATATGATGTAAACTTTATTAAAGAACTGCCGGATCATCGAGATAATAAGGAAGAAAGTTATAACTATAATAATTCTTCAAAATCCATATTTTTCATCACTACAATATCCAATTTTTCCTATGATACTCAACTAAGCATACTTTAAATCCACATCCATCTGTATTGATGAGATCCTATCCAACAAATATTCCAACTACTTCCAAGAAAATATGTATTTAGCATGCCAAATTCAAATAATTTAAAATATTATGTCTATATTATTAAAATTTTTATTTTAAACATTTTTATATACAAATAAATAAATATAAAGTATCTAATAAAGTTCCCTTACTTATCTTATTTGTTTTTCTTAAGACAGATAAGACTTTACTCACCCTTTTAATATTTCGAATCATACAAGGTGATAAAAAACTGAATCATCAGGAATTTTATTATAAATAACCATCTTGTTTGGGGTCATTCCATGTCAAATCAATCACTTTTCGGCCGACCCCTTTCGATTTCGATG